GTTTTTTTTCACAAAGTTTTTTTTTTCGCCGAATTTACTATCTGGGTCGGTTGATTTTTTGAAGAAGAAGCGGGCTCGCCGGAGGGAAAGAAGGAAGGAGTAGCTGTCGTCGATCTATCTTAGGGTGGTAGGGTGGCAGGCTTGTCACCGATCTATCTTACGGTGGCAGGCTCACCGGCAATCTATCTTACATGGGGGCGGGGGGTGCATGTTCGTAGGAGAAAATCTGCTCAATGTCGGAGTTAGAGGGATGACCGGGGGCGGCAGCAGCATGACGGTGGTGGTGGTTGGGGAAAGGGCGGGGCGGCGAGGTTGCCACAGGAGTGCTGCCGACCACAGGCGGTTCGGCCTGGGCTGGATCGGCGACAATCGGAGGAAGAGGATAAACAGTCCATTGGCCTGGGCTAGAAGCCGCCCGGGGATCCGTTGGATCTTGATTGGTTTAGTTAGAATCGGCTGGTCACAGAACTGTTTTCAGCCAACATTTGAGGCACTCGACCTTCTTGTCTTTGGACTCACGCCCCCAAATCTGCCTAGCCGGATAAGAGTCCTTGTTCCGAGCTCCATTGTGAGCTCATACCGCTCAGGTCATCCATGCGAACGAGCTCTGCACCCTTGGGCGAAGGAAGATGAGAGTGGTGTGGGGGCAGAGAAGTCCATGCGCAAGGAGCGGGAGTGGATGAGAAATAAAATCTACCATGAAGAAATGACTAGAGGAGATAAGAAAAAGGATAAAACTAGGTAGGAGGTTATGCAGGAGCGGTTGCTTATTTGGCCGTTTGGTGGAAATGGTTTCACTTGATCTTTGTCCTTAATAGTTTCAGTTATTTGATCCATTGCACTTTTTCAATGAATAAATCGATAAGCTGGATCATTATTCTAAGGCCTCTTTGGTTTACATGAATTTTGTAAGAATTCTACATGATATAATTTTTGTATGAAAATTTTCCTTAAGAGTCACCTTGTTTGCAGAATAGAATCGCATTTCTATACATGATTGTTTCCTATCTGCCGTACTTCAAAGAACAAGAAATATTAGCTCATAGAAGAAAACAAGAACAGATACAACCCACGTCAGCATACATACATTTTATAGCGTCACATCCAATGGCTATAAAAGGTGAATGAGACCAAATTATATCCCATTTAGATGAGTTCTAGCAAAACTGTTTTTCTATCGCCGTTCATAGAATTTGAGTTACAATGCATCTCACTTCTTAGACCTCCTTTCGTCCGTAGGAATTTTATTCTTATCATATGCATCACATGACATATGAATTTTGTAGGAAAAAAATTCTTTGGATCCCTTTGGTTCGTAGGAATTGATTCAATGAAAAATTCTTATCGTATGCATCACAGACATCTATTTCTTTATAGGAGTTGAGATGCACGTCATCTCACTTCCTATGAATTTTCTATTCCTATATTATTCATATTCTATGAAGCAAAGGTGCCTTATAGTTTCCCTAGTCCTATAATATTTCTATATCCTGTGAACCGGAAAAGGCCTAAAAGAAGAGACAACGTAACGATCAAATGAGCTTTCACAAAAAGAATAACGATTCATCACAAATCGAACATGACACCAGTCAGATGATGCTCGTGGAGAGGGTTGGTGACTTTGTGTTCCTCGTTTATCACACGTTAAGTTTGAGCAAACAACAGGAAAATAAGTTGGAGCACGGCAGCACGCGATGCCAACGACAGATAAAATATACTCCATTCGCACACAAGTGGAATTATCATAACTCATCAGCCACAAACAGAGAACCCAGAGAAGAGAAATGTGACAACCTCAAGGTAAATTTATGATACGATAGAAATACGAGACTTTGTACAAATCTGGAGGCACCTTCTGAGCCTCTTTCCCCCCTCCCCCGACAGAGGAAACCAGGCAGGCACGAGGCACACCCCCAACCCTGCTGCAACTTCTTCAGCTAGCCAACAGCACACGCATGAACTTATCACATGTCCTCATCTTGGCATCGGCCGGCCCCCCCGCCGGAGCCGGCGAGCCGCTTCGTGATGCCAGAAGCTTTACAACATGCTTTACATACACTACAGGTAACCGAGGCGAGTTTAACAGTTACATCCCGTATGCTCAAACGAAGTGAGCACCCTGCAGGGGGAGAAGGCCCGAAGGCCGCAATCTAGAAGCATATAGTGTTTTTATGCTGTTCGTGATAGGCTGCAGCTACACCTCTTCCTGATGCAGAGCAGGGGGTGGAGGTAGCGGAGGCGATTGGGACGTCTGCTGGGGCGGCTCTTCGGCTTTGTTGTTAACTTTGATCTCCAGCAGCCGCTCGACCGGCTGACGGCAGATGGGGCACCTGGTGGTCTGGTACCTCAAGACCTTGGCGCACTCGCTGCACATACACTGCAGCAAAATATCCAGTGTCAGTTACTAGAGATGCTAGTACAGAATCAGTTACCAAACAGCTCATAGCACTGGAAATGGACAGCAATCAGTGAATTATTGTACTTCGTAGTAGATTTTTCTGGATCAGTAAATAGAATATGAAATATTCAAGATCACACTCGGTAAACAAAACTGTATATTACAAGTGTAATAACAGACTAAATCTCTGCAATTCATATTTTTTGGAGAATACATAACTGCAGCATTATAGCTTAATTAACTTCAAACGTAGATATCGGCAAGAAAAAAAACTTCAAACGTAGATATTCACAAATAAGCTTCTATATTTATAGATTTGAGACTTACCATATGCCTACATGGAAGGACAGTAGTATCCCTAGGTTCTGAGAGGCAGATGACACATTCTTTCCCAGGATCATTTGCATCAGTGTCCCCTTCCACAGAGTTTCCTATCCCATATATTTCCTGCAATTCATACCTGGTGCCATTCACCCAAAGGATCTGACTAACAACTCGTACTTGATAGTCGCCACTTTCTTTCTTTTCAAACACAGCCTGTGTGATCTGCGAGTTTGGAGTTTTTGGCTTCTGGTCTTCCCCCTCCGATGGTTGATCAGCAGACAGTGTTGTTTCAGCTTTAACTGCAAGTGGATATATTTCCATTCCCCCCTGTTTCAACAACTCAGAGTCCTCAAACGCTGAGAAGTCAATTCCCGTCCCAGAAGGTTGCCTAAACTTTTGGCCAAGACCCTCTTTGAAGCTAACAGTAACAGGCTTAATCAAGTCTGGCTTCATTGCTGTTAGATTGCAATTGAGCTCTTCCTTTGCAAAGAAGTAGACAGTCATGCTGTTCAAGGAAGTAGATTAAGAAGAATGGTAAATCACCTAACATTACAGAAAGAATAAGACTTCTTTTGTCTGTATTAAGGAAGCTCTAATGCTTTAGTCATACAACATGAAAGTACAACAATACTACGTATTAAATAGCAATACAGCTCTAGCACAAAACACCAAAATCCTCTACAAACATACCGGTATCATATTTGCAGGAAGGATAAGTACAGTGTGCTTCGTATAGTTATCCCAGAATAAACAAATTTAATTTCAATACATATTTCACCATTAGCGATTTCGCAACCTATTACACTTAGCCATCCTTTGGTCATAGGATAGGAAAATCATAGGAATAGGGAAGTCACAGGAAATGAGATGACATGCATCTCAGTTCCTATAGGAAAAGAGATGTCACTTGGTTCATAGGATAAGAATTTTTCCAATAGGTCTGAGCTAATGTTTTTTTCCTTTGAAATGTAAAGGATAGGAACCAATCCTACATAGGAATCGGACTCCATTCCTACAAATCAAAGGGATCTATAGAATTTTTTTCTTCAGATATTGTATCCTATAGAATTCCTACAAAGCAAAGGAGGCCTTAAAATTATCTTTAAGAAAAATGTAGCAAGATGCATGCTTTATCACGGAACGGTATCGACAACTTGGTAGAACTGAAATTCCAAGAATTCTTTTTGGTGGCTCATAATGAGAACACATCAATTTCAAATAAACTAGAAAGAAAGACTTGCTTGGTACAAACATCTGGTCACAGACAGATTATTCAACCAAGAGTGAATGTGTTACAAAAATGATGATGAAATAGGGAAAATGGTACTGGGGATGAAGACCTTAACAGTTCCAAACATAACTCCAATGATGGAAACATGTTGGTTTAGAGAATAAAATATATGCCTACAGTAACAACTGAGCAGAAAGTAATGCAGGGAAGAATGAGTGGGGATAATATACATAATATCTATCGTTGACTAGGCCATCTCAGAGAATAGGGCATAAGTAACACTTGTGTTAACAATGCAATGGAGCGAGCATCCTGTGTAAGTCTCACAATCAATGCAAAAATATGGTTTGACCAGGCAGGAACCCAAATATGTAGTCCCTCTGTAAAGAAATTTAAGAGCGCTTAGATCACTACTTTAGTGATCTAAATGCTCTGATACTCCCTCCGTCCCAAAATTCTTGTCTTAAATTTGTCTAGATACAGATGTACCTAATACTAAAACGTGACTTGATACATCCGTATTTAGACAAATCTAAGACAAGAATTTTTGGACGGGGGGAGTATTTCTTTACAGAGGGAGTAGTGTTCTGCCTCCAGAGTACAGACACACCACTACTAAAGTTTAACAGTTGGCAAGGGATCAAACTGTATGGCAACTGTAGATCATTGAAACTTCATCCTCATTACCGTATTCTCGATCACAGAGTTTTTACTAAAGACTTCTGAGAACAATCTAATAATGAATAAAACATGCATATAATGCTATAGCTGGCTTTCTGGCTATTGAAGAAGAATTATTTGCAAGGACCAGGGTATCAAGGATACTGCAATAGATGACTGAGCTCGTCCTTATAAGCATGTTAGTGTCCTCAGGTAATACTTTTGTAGACAAAAAAGTTTTTATGTATGGTTTTTACTAATTTCCTTTTTTTTTATCAATAGAGGGAATCGTCAATCAACAAACAAATGGAGGTCAAAGATCGCTGAAATAGACAAATACCGCCCTTGACCTCAAGCAAGTGAAAGCATCACCATCATCAGAGACAGAGACTAATTCCTCGAAGCATCAACGTCGACATACAAAACGAATCCATGCAAACAAGAACATCTTCCACACAAATCCTGCTCCTGGCCACTGGCAGCTAGCTGCCGGCATACATATAACGGCACAAATATACATATAAAGATTTAAGAGAAGGAAGAAAGATTCACCTTCCAGCGACGGTGGCATCGAAGGTGAAGGCGACGAGGAAGCAACCGGGACAGCCTTCATCAGGCTCAATCCGGAGCGTCTCCTTCTTGAGGTTGACGTCGTTGCGGATGGTAACGGCCTTCTGGTGCTCGACGTAGGGCGTGGGCATGGGCGGCTGGAGCCCGTAAGGGTACCGCCCGGCCCAGCCGGGGTAGTGGTGGGAGTGGACGGAGGGCGGGAACTCGGTGGGGGGCACGTTGGGCGGCGGCGCGGCGCCCCTGTGGTGGTGGTCATAGGGCGCCGGGAGGGGCACCTGCACGGACGGCGGCGGCGGCGGGTAGTAGTTCCCGTACTGCGGGTAGTACTGCGGCGGGTTGGGGTTGGGGTACTGGGGCGGGTAGGGCGTGGCGGCGGCGAAGACGTAGCGGTTGGGCGCGGCCTCCGGCTGCTGCGGGGGCGGCGGCGCCTGGTGGTGGTGGCCGTGGCCGTGGCCGGAGCTCCGGCGGCGGTGGCCAGGGCCGCCTCCCCCGCCGTTGCTGCCCGCGTTGCCCATAGCTCCCGCGCGCGCAGATCACCCGCTGCGAACCCGGGGAGACGCGGTCAGGCTCGGATCTCGAGGCCCTGGAGCATCAAAATTGGAGGAGCCTCGCCCTCCTCCCAATTCCTCTCCTCCCAACAACGTCCCCAGAAAACCCAAGAATCCAAAGAAAAAGAGGACGCACGCCGCCTCCGAGGATCGGAAGAAGCGGCGCGACGGAATTGGAACGAACCCCCGATCGATTCCCCCCTCGCGGATCGAAATCGAACACGATCGATTCGATCGGGGGAGGGGAGGGGAGGGGAGGGAGGGAGCGCTTGCCGGCGCGCTCACACTTCTTTGCTTTCTCGTCTGTGTCGTATTTTTGGGGCTATAATGGAAGGTTGCGCGTAAAGCACACCACTATCGTCTCTTTTCTTTCCCCCCTCGGCCTCGGTGGTTACAGCTATGGTTGTTATCATATCACACCCCCAGCCCCTTTAACTCCCCCCGAATCGCCCGCCGGCCACGCGGGGCTTGTGCGCGGCGTGCGGGCGCGAAACCAGCGGCGGGGCGAGGCTTTTCACCCCACACGTGAGGTGAATGTGCGACGACCAGTGCGCGGAGCTCTGGATTTGGCGGTGAGGGAGTGATGGCCTATTTTCGGTACGGTCGCGCGGCCGGCGAACCAGAGTCACTCACTGGTCTCGTTTCCAGCATGCAAGCAAGTGCGAGTAATAGTGGTGTGGAGTGGCTCCAAGCCGCACGGTAAACTCCCGGCCGCACGTGTAAAAAGCCGTTTGAAATTGCAGTGAAATGGCGACGACCGATGCATCATTGGCTGTTTTTGCGGGGTTGGAGACGGAGGGGCTTGTTGTCAAAGTGGCAACAATTCTTATATTCCTTCCCCGCCCTTTTGTTAATAAAGCTTTCTGGGAAAGAGGTTCTTGTAGTGGGAGGAGGCGGTAGTGGTAGTGGTCAGGTTTGAGCCGAGCCTAACCAGAGGTGTCGCTGCTCCGCTTTTGCTAGTGGCCTTTTTTCCGTTCGACTAATGACAAAGAAACAATAATACATTTATACCTTGTTCGGTTTGTTTGGAATAATAAAGCTTTCTACAATCGCACGGCTCCCTTGAATGGATGGCCAAAATGAAAGGCGTGCACGATACAGATGCAATAATTGAGCGAGCTTCGCGCAACAGACGAACGGTACTGTCAGTGGCCTTCCCTCGGTGTGGTCGATGTGATGGTTGATTTAAGCCTGAAAATGTGGGTGCTCCTCTAATTGGCGACACCCTTTCCGTCGTCGCACTCATTTACTTGCTCGCTTGGTTAGCGTCCAAAGTGGGCATGCGTCCCTACTTGACTAGATAAACACTTGCTATCCGACGCGACCGCAGCTGGCCGGGAGCCCGGGACAACGCCTGGACCCCAAAGCCGATCCATCGTGAGGCATCACCGATCAGTACGTACCAAATGCCAGGCTTGTTGATCATCTCGAGATGGAGAATACGCCGCGCCTCGATCTCAACCTTCCACGACAAACGAGACCGTGGATGAAGCTGGAGAAAACATTTGTATTTGTAGGCCAGAGACGTTGTGTAAGGCTACTTCAAATGCATTGGTGCTTACATGAGGTGCTAAGTGCATTTAAAACCTTAGCAACTAGTCTTCCTAATGCATTGGTGCTTAACTTTTGTAGCTAAGCTTCCCTCATTGAATTGTTTAATAATTAAACTCCATCATCCATTGGTTGATAGTCATTTTGCATAGGTCCACGCGCTTAGCACCATTTCCTTCTCGGGTCACCATAATGCTCTCTCTCTTCTTTAATTGTTTTGCCACATCACTTTATTACCTACGTGGCATCCTTAGCACATGTACACCATGGATCACTGGGAAGGGCCTATAGGCAGAAAAATAACGTGGCACATCAATTAAAGAGAAGAGAGAGCATTATGGTGACCCAATAAGAACCAATGCTAAACACGTGAACCTAGACAAAAAAGACTACTCCCTCCGTCTAGATGAGTAAGTCATCTTAGGTTATGCACCGTGACCAAGGAGGAGGGGAAAACGAGAGTACTTAATGTTCATTTGGTAATTAATAGCATTGCATGCAATGAACTGACCACTGCATGTCGTGTTTGATAGTCTCAAGTCATTAAAAGAATGCACACCCCGCATCTCTTATTGGTTGATATTTCAAGAAACAAGAAACGAGGTAGAATTTAATGCACCGCGCCTAAGTGTTTTGAGAATATTTGGTTTTCGTAAGATGACTTACACACCTAGACGGAGGGAGTACCAACCAATACATGAAGGAGTTTTATTACTAAACAATTAAATAGAGAAGGCTTAGCTACAAAATTTAAGCACCGATGCATTGGGGTCATTAGTTGCTAAGCATTTTAATGCACTTAGCACCCCACTTTAGCACCTATGCATTGGGAGGGGTCTAAATAAGTGGGACGGGTTTATCCGGGCAGAGCTTCTTGAGGTCCAGTCCATACTTATTATTTGTTCGTTCATCTTTTTTAAGAATTATTTGTCCGTTCATTTGTTGGTGCGCCAGGATATCCATAGGCACGAGTTACTACCCACACCCATATGTGATAATTGTAAGAAAATAATACTAATAATTGTAGCTGGATATCCGTAAGTAGGGACGTATCTGTTGACGAGAGACGTTGTGTGAGAACTAAAAAGAGTAGAGGAGTCTGCCTCCTCCTCTACATCGACAGAAAAACAAAGAAACAATGAAGGTTCCTAACCCAAGCCAAAGCTTCACTGCACGATGCTGCTTCGGTCCTTCTTTCCTTACCTGTCGAGCAGTTTCTCGAAGGCAAAAGGAGTTTTTCTTTTTGAGAACAACCGCTTGATCTTTATTAACCAATACTGAAGTTTACATAATCAGGTGGTTCTAGCAACCATATATGACGCCCAGGAGCTAACTTTAAAGTGTTTTTAGCAACAAGTTTTTTTTAGCTGCTGGGTGTCTCAATCCGCGGCTGCAAACACTGGCGATTGGGAACCAGATAAAGACGGCGGGTGCGGCAGAGGAGTATGCTGTTGATCATGCAACGGGTAACCCATCTATTGATGAGTTGTTGGCTGAACTAAGGAAGTCCATGTCGGGTTGCAGCAAGGGTATGGCTGAGAAACAACATGCAGCTACAACAGCCAACATATATGCACGTTCACCCAAAAAAAAAGAACGGAGGGCGGACAAGACATACAGTTTGTGGATGGAGGGGCGTCCATGAGCCAGGAGACGCAGATAGAGGCGAGCACTATGGAGGCAACCGACCCAGGGGCCGTCGGTGAACTGACGGGGCCAACAGAGCCCCGTCAGGAGCAATGAATATTTTAAGTTGGAACTGCCGGGGGGCAGGGAACCCCTGAACAGTTCGTGATCTCGTGAGTCTTGTCCAGGCTCACTCCCCTAGTATCGTTTTTCTTTGTGAAACTAGGCAGCCAAAAAATAAAATGAAGAGGTACCGTGCTCGGTTAGGCTTAAGTGGTTTTGATGCTTGTGATAGCGTTGGTCGTAGTGGTGGCCTTGCTTTGTACTGGCATGAGTCGCTGATCGTCGATGTAAAATATATTAATGAAAGATATTTGATGCGTATGTGACTGCGGCGGAGGGTGAGCCACCCTGGAGGCTTACCTGCGTCTACGGCGAGCCACGGACGGAGGACCGTCATCACATGTGGTCCCTCCTCCGTGACCTTCACCAGCAAGCTGATATGCCTTGGGTCGTGGCTGGTGACTTTAACGAGGCCATGTGGAGCTTCGAGCATTTCTCCAAAACGCCATTCTCGGCAGGTCAGATGATTGATTTTCGTGATGTTCTTGAGGTTTGTGGTTTGGGTGATCTCGGTTTTGCAGGCCTGCCTTACACTTATGATAATCGTCGTGCGGGGCGGGCAAATGTTAAGTTCGACTTGATCGTGTCGTGGCTAACAACACTTGGTGTGACATGTTCTCTGAGGCCAAGGTGCAGCACCTTGTGGCACCGAGTTCAGACCACTTTGCCATCCTGCTACGATGCGTTCTCGAGGAGCCCGTGCAGTAGTCTGGCAGGCGCTGCCGACAATATGAGGTGATGTGGGAGAGGGATCCGTCCCTCCCTGAGGTAATTATGAATACTTAGGCATATTTGGGTTCCTTGCTTAACCTGGGTGATATTGCGGCGGCCTGGGTACTATGATGAGAAAATTGCAGGACTGGAGCCGTAAAAAGTTTGGCAATGTTATTAAAGAAATTAACAAATCTCGTACCCGCTTGGAAGAGCTTATGTCTATGAATGCAGACAAGAAGGAGATTCGGGAGGCCACTGACAGGATGAACGAGCTCCTGTATAGGAAAGAGATGCTTTGGATGCAGAGATCCTGGGTCGCCTGGCTTAGGGAGGGCGACCGAAACACATGGTTCTTCCATCGGAAAGCGGTGTGGCGGGCTCGAAAAAACCGCATTAAGTCGCTTGTGGACGAGGCATGAGTGGTCCAAACGGACCACGATATTATGGCGTCCATGGCAACATCGTACTTCACTAAGCTTTTTATAGCCGACACTACACTCTGTGTGGACCCGGTAATTGCTTTGATTAATACTCGTGTGACTGACAATATGAATGATGGTATGTGTGCAGACTTCACGGATAAGGAGATATCGGACGCTCTTTTTCAGATTGGACCTCTCAAAGCGCCGGGGCCGGATGGATTTCCCGCGCGTTTTTTCCAGAGGAACTGGGATGTCATGCGAGAGCAGGTTATTGCATGGGTGAATGAGTTTTTCAGTTCTAGAAGAATGCCTGAGGGGGTCAACGACACTTCCATTGTTCTTATCCCGAAGGTAGACAAACCAGAGCGGCTGACAGAATAGAGACCAATAAGCTTGTGCAATGTCATATACAAGGTTGTGGCTAAATGTTTGGTTAACCGGCTCCGCCCCATTTTGGATGAAATTATTTCGCCAGAGTAGAGTGCCTTCGTCCCTGGGCGGATGATTACTGATAATGCATTGGTGGCCTTT